TATCCACTTTCAGTTGGACAACTTTGGTTCCCGCCTGTCATCCTAGCTACTCAGGAGGCTGAGATGGGAGGACCATGGTACAAAGCTAGCCTGGGTAGGAAAGTTCGTGAGACTCTTATCTCCAGTAAAATACCAAAAAGCCAGAAGTGGAGCTGTGGCTCAAGTGTAAAACACCAGCCCTGAGGACAAAAGCTCAGGGACAGCATCCAGGCTCTGAGTTTAAGCCTCAACACTGAAACACACACACACACACACACATACACACACACACACACTCAAACAAATAGAGTCATACAGTCACTCTATAAGCCATTTTTTTCCTGGTGTCAGTCCCAGTGGTGTTCCTTTGTTTGTATCTTCAAGGCTGGTGCTCTACAACTTGAGCCACAGCTCTACTTTTGACTATGTGCTTGTTAATTGGAGATGAGTCTCTTGGGCTTCTCTGCTTTGGCTTAGCCTGGAATCAAGATCTTCAGATCTCTATCCCCTGAGTAGCAGAGATTATAGGTGTGAGTTCCTGTCTCCTCTTCTCTCCTATCCTCTCTTCATTCTTTCCTTCCTTCTTCCTTTTTCTTTTTTCCCTCTTTCTTTCATTTCTTTTCCTTCCTTCCTTTATCTTTTTTTCCTTCTTTGCTTGCTTTCTTTGCTTTCCTTCCTTCTGTCTTTCTGCCTTTCTTTCTTTCTTCCTTTCTTTCTTTCTTTCCCTCTCTCTTTCTCTTTTCCTCTCTTTGTTTCTCTCTCTTTTTCTATCTCTCTTTCTTCCTTCTTTGGTATTGGGATTTGAACTCAGAACCTTGCTAGGCAAAGTTTTCCTCTTGACACACAGCATTCTTCCATCAGGTAAATCCCACTGCCATTTTCCCATGAGGCTCTGGGGAAGCGTGTTTGGCAGAGCTGGCTGCTTTTTACATGGGAAAGGTGAATCTTCACTTTCTTCCTCACCCTTGGCCCCAGTCAGCGGGTGTACAGACAGCACGGGGAGAAAGGAAACCCGATTTTAGACGAGAAATAGGAGGTGTCCCTTAAACATTATTTATCCAGGGGCCCAAAGCTGTGAGTGTCGAAAATCGGATCTGTCATCCATTAGCCCACACAATGAGACCTTCGAAGTGAACTTAACAAGAAGAAAAATTTAAAAACTAATAAGTAGAAGATGCTTATAGCAAAATGTAGACTTTGACAATGGCGACAGAACAACCTTCTGCTGTGAAACCACAAGCAACATCATGCTGAGTGCTCTCACCACACAACGGGGGGTTGATCTCAGCCCAGCCACAAAGTCCTGATGGACTTGAGTAGCGATCTATTTTTCCCTATGGTCAAATGGTGAATGGTGTCCTCTGTGAACTTAGTGGATAACACACACTGAGTTCAAGCCCAATAAGCACACACACGTGGACACACATGCACAGACACATACACAAATGAAAAATAGTGAGAGGACTGGGCATGTGGCTTAGTGGTGGAGTGCTCACCTAGTATGCATGAAGCCCTGGGTTCGATTCCTCAGTGCCACATACACAGAAAAAGCTGCAAGTGGTGCTGTGGCTCAAGTGCTAGAGCGCTAGCCTTGAGCCAAAGAAGCTCAAGGACAGGGCCCAGGCCCTGAGTTCAAGCTTCAGGACTAGCAAAAACAAACAACAAGAACAACAAAAACTAGTGAGAAAAAAATCTAATGCTTTTCTATACTAAAATCCCTATCTAATTGGATTATCCATATGCTATACAAACTTGTTCATTTTAATGCCAGTGTAGCCACATGAATGGAACAAGTACATATATATATATATATATATATATATATATATATATATATACACACACACATATATGTGTGTGTGCATACATATACATCTCTCTCTTTATATGTAGCACACACATATGTTTTTTATTTTGTTTTTGATTTGTTTTTTCTTTCTGTCAGGCTTGAACTCAGAGGATGGGCGCTATCCCTGAGCTCTTCTGCTCAAGGCTGGTGCTGTACCACTTGAGCCACAGCACCACTTCCAGTTTTCTGGCGGGTCACTGGAGATTAGAGTCTCACAGACTTTCCTGCCCAGGCTGCCTTTGAACCACCATCCTCACATCTCAGCCTCCTGAGTAGCTGGGATGACATGCGTGAACCACCATCCCCCAGCTGAATAAGTATTTCTTGCTCTTTTTAGATGTGTGTCGGAGGCCCTTTGGCACAGGCTAGCACTGAAGCTTTCGTGTGCTTGTATAACTCTGCTGGTCCTGGTCATGTTTAGGCTGAGCATGGAAGGTGAGTGAGGCAGGATCTGGGATCTCAGAACTTGCTCTCCGTCTCCATGGCAACTCTGAGGGCATCCTGCATCCATTTAAACACATATTTCAATATATAACCCCTTGATGTGTTCTTTGCTAGGGGTATACTTAACACAAAGGTCGCCAACAGAAGAGGGTACTATGGACATTCAAGAAAACAGGATTGAGAAACAGATAAATTGTCTTACCTTGAATTTCCTGACGGCTAACACAGGGTAAATATCATGTGTTCAATAACCACACACAAGGACCCCATTCACATGCGGGCTTCATGCTTGACTAAATTAAAGGGGGGGAAATGTTGAGGGCTGGGAATGTGGCTCAGTGGTAGAGCGCTCACCTAACATGCATGAAGCCCTAGGTTTGATTCCTCAGTACCACATGCATAGAAAAAGGCAGGAATGGAGCTGTGGCTCAAGTGGTAAAGCGCTAGCCTTGAAGGAGAAAAGCTCAGGGACAGCACTCAGGCCCCGAGTTCAATCCCCAGGACCAGCACCGAAAAAAAAAATGAAGAAGAAAAAATCCTTCCTGAAAAACAATGCTATTCAGCAACTTGTATTTGTGGATGAATACGACATTTGGCAGAAATTTTCTCACAATACTTCCTGTGGTCTTTCTCTTGGATTTAGTGAAATTGGTTACTGTTGGCCACATACTTGGCTTTAGACGTGCACTTTTTAGGTGAGTTAAATATTGCTGTCTATTTAGGAAAATTAACACTGGTTATGAATTTGATGAAAATGAGAAATAGTCCTGTTTGGGTGAGTGTGTGTGTGCGTGTGTGTGTGTGTGTGGCGGGCTGTGATTCAGCGGGGGCTGGGTGGAAGTTGAACCTCTTCCAGTTTCTTCTGTAGAGAGACCAGCCATGGCAGCGTGCCCTGTGTTTTGGCATCAACTTGGAGAGAAGTGCCTATTTCTATCACGTACACCTTTGTCTTGGAATGACAGTCTGACCTACTGCTCCACGAAGCAATGTAACCTGCTGCTCATTCGCGATGGGGAGGAGCTGGTGAGTGGTGAGGGGAGACGCCTTCCTGGCACTCCACACCCTGTGACCTGTGCCAGGACCTCTGGAATTTCACCAAAGAATCCATGTCGTGCAAGTGGAGACTTGAGATTTGCAAAGCTTATTCTGCAGGAGAATAAAGAGCAGAGACTCGATATGCCTTTGTCTACATGCATCCATCCTTCCTTCCAATCACGATCCACCTTTCCATCACCCACCATCCACCATCCATCCATCATCCATCCATCACCATCCATCCATCATCCATCCATCACCATCCATCCATCATCCATCCATCACCATCCATCCATCATCCATCCATCATCCATCACCATCAATCCATCATCCATCCATCATTCATTACCATCCATCCATCATCCATCCACCATCCATCCATCATCCATCCATCACCATCCATCCATCATCCACTATTTGTCATCCTTTATCCACCATCCAGTCATTATTATCATCTACCATCCATCCACCATCCATCTGTCCATCATCCATCCACCATCCATCTATTAGCCCATCCACCATCCATCCATCCATAATCCAATCACTATCCAGGCTCCACCCATCATCCCTCATCCATTCATCACACACCACCCACCCATCCACCCATCCAGCCATCATTTCTGTCTCTATTGTTGTATTTATGTATCTATTTCAATATTTATCATCTACTTTTATGTCTCTATTCTGTATCTATGTTTCTGTGTTTGTGTTTGTAATATTTGCATGCATGTATCAATCTTTTCATGTCGACCCAATTTTTGTATGTATATCTGTATAACTCACCTATCTTTATGTTTATATCTAGGGATCTACATCTATGTATTAATGTGGATATATGTGTATCTGTCTTGAGAAAGAGAAATACCACAGAGAAGGCAGAATGAGGCACTTAGAGAATTGAGGATATGCTTACTGTGAGGGTGTTGCTACAGTGGGTTTTAGGAGTGCGTAGAATAAAATCAGGAACTGGTACTGGTGGCTCACACCTGTCATCCTAGCTACTCAGGAGACTGAGATCTGAGGATCACGGTTCACAGCCAGCCTGGGCAGGATAGTCTGTGAGACTCTTATCTCCAATGAACCACCAGAAAACTGGAAGTGGTGCTGTGGCTTAAGTGGTAGAGTGCTAGCTTTGAGCTGAAGAGCTCAGGGACAGCGCCCAGGCCCTGAGTTCAAGCCCCACAACCAACAAGAAAGGAGGAAAGAGAGAGAGAGAGGAAAATGGAGAGAGAGAGGGAGGGAGAGAGAGAAAAGAAAGAGAGAAAGAAAGAGAGGGAAAGAAAGAAAGAGGGAAAAAAGAGAGAGAAAGAAAGAAAGAAAAGAAAGAAAGAAAGAAGGAAAGTCTGTGAGACTCTTAGCTCCACACAGCAGAAGTTGAGCTGTGGTTCAGGTGGTAGAGCGCTAGTCTTGAGCAAAAAAAGCTCAGGAACTGCACCCAGGGCCAGGATTAACACCAAAAATGTCATGTTGTCCTCTGGTCTCTTCTATCCCAGAGGCTCCTGCGGGACGTTCTGGAGCGTGACAGACATCTCTACTGGATTGGACTACATTGCTCAGTGTCGGGGAAGACGTGGAAGTGGACAAACGGCTCTGAGTTCGTTTCCGCCATGTGAGTCCT